GGGTTGGCCCCGCTCCACAGCCGCGACATCGCGACTACTGAAAAATTTGCCTCAACTGAGCTCAATTTATAGGGTTTGCATCCAGACTCTCTGATGTCATCAATGACATCACAGGAAGCTTGTGTTTTTACAGGAAGAGTGAGCAAATACTTTAGGCAATGTAGTGTATTTATATACCAATATATATATATATATATAATGCCTGTCCCAATTTTTTGGGACAGGCATTTTGGGTTTTCATGAGCTGTATGCCATAATCATCAGTATTAAAACAATTAAAGACCTGAAATATTTCAGTTGGTGTGCAATGAATCTGAAATGTATGAAAGTTTCATTTTTTTCATTACAATATGGAAAATAATGACCTTTATCACAATATGCAAATTTTTTGAGAAGGACCTGTACACGCATTTGTATTGTTGTTTAGTTTTTGACTCAAGTGCGCTCCCTACATTATTCAAACAGTTGTATCTCAGTGACATATCATCTGATATGCACCAGATTTTTTGTGCATTATGTGTGAGCACTTGTAGACACATTCTAGACACTTTTTTTTTCGTTTAACATTTGACTCGAGTGCGGCCCCTACAATATTCCATTAGTTACATCTCAGTGATACATCATCCGGTCTGAACAAAATTTTTTGTGCTTGATCGGTGAACACCTACAGACACTTTGGTATTGTTGATTCATGACATTTCTTAAGGCCCACCCACTCAGAGAATAAACTGTCAGTTATTGAGTGACTCTTCCAGTTAGACCCTACGTAATTTATAAAAAGGAAACTAACTGTTTATTATGACACGACATGTGGAAAAGCATATATGAAGTGCTCGTCAAACGTTCTCAACAAAACAGGAAGTCACAATAACTCCTGTCTGGAATGTCAGATTTCACGTATACTTGTAAGACCTGTAGCTGTACTGGTACTGAAATGGACAGAAGGCCATGTCAAACATTCAGAAAATGCGCATCGTGGTATACGTGTGTGGGACTGGCATGACAGCGTTTGCGATGGCGACTGGGTGGAGGGGCTGAAGCTCCTGCGGTCACGGCATGGCCGGAGCGGTGCTTTGCTGGGAGGGCCTTAAATGGCATTCACACGTGCAGTTTCGAAGGAAATGCAAAGTCTCTAGTTGCTTTAGTAATTACTTTACTTTTTCAAACCAGTTAATCTCCAAATTGATTTGTGTTGTTCAATTTTGTTTATTATTGTTGGTGATTCTTATTTTGATTAATTATTTTAAAAGGCTAATTCAGTTTCCTCCTCACACGGTATAATATTGTGATAAGAATTAACTGTAATTACGAGTTCAGCTTCAGCCGTTGGGTTTGATAATTCAAGGATGAATACTAGTATTAAGTACTACTCATTCTCCCATCAACAGTACTCATCATAGTCCTCAGCTCCCTGGTGTATAACGTGAAGACTTTGCTGGCTACTTCAGAGATAAAATATTTAATAACAGTTCTGACATGTATCATTACGCACATGCTGAACATTTATCTTTATTGTCTGAACCTTGTGATGTGTACATAGTCTTGTTCCACCTCATGTACCACAAGTGATGAGAACGACAATAAACCTACGTGAAACGTGAATGTTGGGTACAGCACTTTTGACCTGGTTGATGCTGTAACAACAGAACTGAAGCCCTCCACATGTTTCTTAGACCCAGTCCCTACTTCTGTTATATACATATATATACAGTATACATAACTTTTTCAGTTCCGCAGTTGAAGACCTTTTTACCATTGCAAATTACTCTTTACGGTTTTGTTCCTTCACTTGGGAGCTTAAAACTGCCTTAGTAAGGCCTCTTCCAGTGAAAAGTAACATTATGTTTTAATGTCCAGCTGTTTCTGGACAATTTCTAAACCACCATTTCTAAGAAATGTTTTTGGAAAAACTTGTTTATATTCAGTTAAATTCGTTTTTCAACTCACACTGTAAATTAGAAATGTAAGAAATTAAAGGTGGGTTTTTAGGAGTCCATCACAGGACAAAGCCCTTTTAAAAGTTGATGACTTCAGAATAAACTGCCCCTTCATCTAAGAAGTCATAGTCTGATTTTAAAACTCTCCTGAAAACATCCTGATGCATTTTTAACCCATCCTGAGGACCTGACTTGTCCTCTGAACCTGGCTCTCTTCTTAAAACCTATGTTCATTAGCTCTTAACACTTTGTGAAGAGTTGATTATACTTCATTTTTATCAAGCGCATCAAAGTTGCCGGGAGTTGGAATGACCACGGAGCAGCACATATGGACTGTGTGCCGGAAGTTAGCTTGTATGCATGGCAAAAAAGTGACACTGAGCATGCGCATTAGTATCTGCAAAAAGATCAGTTAGAAGAAACCAGAAGAAACTAACCGTTTGATCTTGTCGGCTGCAGCAGGAAACGCTACTCCAAGGAGCTCTCTGATTGGTCAGCAGGCCGCGTTCAAGCTCCGCCCCCAGCGTCACAAACAGAGAGGAGACCGCGGCCAGTTGGGCAGTTTGTCGGTAAGGGTTTGTGGGTCAAATTAAAGGAGTACGGTTTGCAAAATAACCGTTTTTATGCTTTGAGGTCGTCGGCTGTCGGTACTTGTAACATTTATGTCGTATGTTCGGTGACAGGCTGAAGAAAACCTGAAAATGAGTCACCTGAAAGAGCGCTTCGTGACCCTGCTCCATGAAAAGAACTGTGTGACGGACCAGTTGGCAACGTTGGAGCAAAAATCCGGAGTGAAGAGAGAGTTTATCGTTTTGGGTATGACAACAGCTCCTAAACAAGAGAAGACTAAAACTAAAAGGGCAAATAAGTTGAGTTTTAGAGCGACGCTTCGTGGTAACTGTGGTTTCGTGTTGTGTCACTGCTGCCTGACTCGTTTTATTGCGCTGCTCATGCTGGAGAGCCAAAGTTCAGCCAGCTCAAACTTTGTTTCAAAACTATCCGTAATCCTTATAATCCCATTTGGGAATGCGGCTTTAAACGAACTGCTTCTAAACAACCTCCTAAACGCACCAGCAGCTGGTGTCAGGGTATTTTTATCTGTCCTCAAATAGCCCCTGCAGGGTGGAGAAAATAGAAGTGGATTCAAGTCTGGGCTGCTCATTTGGTTACACGCTGCTCCACCTGTTAGCTTTTGGGAGTTGTGTTTTGACAAAGCTCAGCTGAACCAATTTGCACACCAGAAGTCAATAAATGTAATTCATAATATAAATATAGGGGGAGTGGTGGTGCAGAGGTGAAGGTCGCCAGTTCGACCCCCCAGACCGACAACGTTAAAATATGAGTGGAAAAGGTGAAACACTCGCCTTCCTCCACCCTCATTTACCCCACCCTGGGCCCTTAACCCCCACCATCTGCTCCCAACTGGGTCTCTCTTGAAAATCAATCAACCTTTATTTATACAGGTAAATCCCATTGAGCCTCGAGGACTCATTTACAAGAGAGACCTGATTTCAACAAAGAAAGATGACAACAATGGACAACAGCAACAACAATAAGCAATTATAAAAACTCATACTACAGTTTTTTTTTTTTTTTTTTT